TAGATTAAATCATAAACATATATCAAGGAGTTTCATCATCAAAATACGAGATTCAACAATTTTAATAATGATTGACATTAGAAGATATAGTAAGAGCATCAGGTGTTGGAGAAATAAGCACACAAGATAACTTGCAAAAACAAAGATGAGTGCAAAAGCCTTGCAACAATTAGAAGAGGAGGAAGTTTATTCTGATAAAGATGAACAAAGAGTACGGATATAAATCAAGTGATGGAGAGGATGATTCAAATGCGGATGATAAAGTGGACCTCTATGATCATTGATTTTCTTGATAAAATCTTTGGACTTTCCATGTTAACATTCTTTTGCTTTGTTATTTTCATTGTTAGATTTGAATAATGTAGTACTTTAATGCATGGTTCGCCTTATCAGTTTGTACTGGTGTATTGATCAGTTGTCGGTATGGTATGTACAAAGTTGTACTAAGCCATATCAAATGTACCGACACATGGTAGGGCGTACTGATGTACCACCCATACTCGTCCCTTATCGGTATGTACCGCCTATATCAAGTGGTACCGAACAGTACGACAAACTTTGCTTTAATGTTTTCTTGAGGTTTGGATGAATGTTACTAAATGTCTTTGTAATATTTTGAATATGAAATAATATGAAGCTCATGTATTGTGTAATTTTTATCTTCATGATAGTTTTTCTCCTTAATTATATATTTTATAATTCTTATATCGACGAGTGCCTCATTTCGCTTGGGCGAGAGCTACGTGTCTCATGCATTTTGAAACCTTGGTGCCTTTTAGCCCCTAGAGCTTTTTGACCAAGTATCATTGTCTCGTACTGATCAATGTTATTGGTCCTAGGCTGACCTGATATGTATTCACCAATAATGGCTTACCACATGTTGGTATGTTGACCAACGCATCAATTTTCAACAAAAAGCCAAAAAAATAAAAATTCAAAAAATTCTTTTTATGATTTTCTATTCTAATTTAATATTTTTTGTATTTAAATAATAATAAAGTTTGTACAAGGTATAAATGAATAGAAATTCTAGGTTATAATCATGAGCGTGAATTTTTCTTTCTAATAACCCTACTTGGGCTAAATTACACCTAATGATCCAAAATTGGGCCTAAACCAATTAAAATGATATTAATTATCGTTAGTTAGATTTGAATTAAAGTTTTAAATCCCTCTTATCGAAATCAATAGCTTGATTACCATTAACCGCCGGTTAGGAACTTAAATCACAAGTGGGAGTGTGAGAAAGAGAGAAAGAGACTGAGAATGGGAAAGTGATTGAGAGTGAGTGAAAGAGGGGAGAAAGGGGATTTAAAGCCCAAAAGAGGCCCCAATGGTCAATTTGACTGTTGGGTCCAAACTTGACCCAATTTGGATCAGTATCAATTGGTATCAGTCAAATTCTGATTGATACCAATCCATAGCGACCAATACAACATGGGTTTTGATTGTATCGATCAATACATCACCTGTAATGACCGATACATGACCTGTTCCTTAAGTACCACTTGAAACAAGATAGTCTGTGTATCGCACAGTTGGTGGACCGATGCATAATGCCCATTTTGCACCATTTCAGATGGTATGGCATTCCTTGCTTTTGACAACACTACTTCAAATAATAGCATTTATAAGGCTTACTACATATCTATATGTATTATCCTTATTTATAGTTTTTAATGAAGCCTTCTTAGTTCATCCTCTACCCACTAAGACTAATTATCTTACCTCTTCTAATTATAGTTCTAAGTATATGTCTATACCATAGAAATAATTCTTCATTTTATTCTCTATTAGAGCTATCAGAATTTAATTGTTCACAAATAAGAACATTTCATTTTCTGACCTAGTAATTCCATATATCCTCGACATTCTCATTTTTACAACATACTATGTTGTTTCTTGACAGTCGGATCCATAAAGTATTACTGGTGTAAATAACTATGAATTTACCTTTAATCTAAAAGAGACCCAGAGATCACACAAAACTCTTTCTGAGTCCCTTTCTGCTTTAACCATTTAAATCTTACTCTATGAGCAATAGCTTCATCGATTTGTTCATCGTGTTGTATAATCAATCCCTGATCTAAGATTTTTATATATTTTGATTTCTTGTCTATTCAACTTATTGATATCTCCAGATTGCCTATTCATTAAATCTTTTGTAAGAAAATTATGTTAATTGTTCTTCTAATCATTATAAATCATCAATTTCATGATAATGTTCCTATATTCCAAGTTGTTAACCTAATCCTCTAGTCTTATACTACTTTATTTGCATTTATCCTGAACAATATAATAACCCTTACCTATTGTGCGCTGCATTGATATACTCATGTGATGGGTCACTTTTGACGACCTCAGGTCACCTTTTGCACTTTGGTTCACCTTAACAGCGAAGATAAACTCGTCACTTTTGGATAACAACGTAGCCGTTTACTAAAAACGGTTAAGATGGATATTCCTGAAATCTGGCATAGTTTTACATTGATTGTCAATGACTCAATACAATGCTTCACTTTTTTCATGAGTTTGGGATCATCATTGGCGGTATTACCTTAATTACAGAGTTGCAATAAGAAAAACATTCATGATATCCTATCATGGTGACCAAGGATTCAAGTCTAGGTGTCGGCTCTCAGATCTTTGTGTCTAGTATATACCATGGTGTAACAACCTCAAGCAAAATACATAGAAAAAAAAGAATGTAGGAAAAGTAAATAATAATCAGGAGAAGTACTTGAGAGAAAAGTTATCGTTGTCCACGTTTTACTTACCTAGATCTGTCGCTATAAAACTTGTGATAGGGTATTCCACTGGTGTATCATGATTGTTATTGTTAAGTTAATACCCTTGGTGTATGGCAGTCTGTAACCAAGATCCTGTCAGAGCAGTATGTGTCCTGAACATAGAACTCTTTATTTTGACCATGATTGGTCTTCTTTGGCATGACATTGTTTCAACCTGGCCTTCTGCATATATTAGGTTATTTCTTTATTGAACCATTATGTTTATATTCTTCTACCAATTACATGGCCCATCTGTCACGGGAAGGGTTCCATGGACAGGAACATGAGAATACAATAGAGACATATCCAAGTGTTCAATCCAGCAAGGAGAATGAAGATATTGGAGGCAAGAAGATGGATATTAAAAAAACATGTGATGTTATGAGAATGTAAAATATTAGAAGTTTAAGTTCATAAGAAGCTTAGAGTCATAATCTTGTTAATCGATGAAAATTCGAGTCCTATAATTACAAAAATCTGATGCATCCAACTCATGGAGCTGGATACAACTGTCATGGCTCATGGTTGACGATGCAACAGTCCATGAAATACTAGTCACAAGGGATAAAGTACTTCCAATATGTTACTTCACCATTGTAATTCTTATCAATATCTAGGTCTTTTGCGAAACCACAATACTGATGTTACTTTATTAGTCAACTCAGAGTATATCTTAATAATGGAGTAAAGTTGTATAATAAAAATGCTTGAAGATGATTGACCTATGCAAAGATGAACCTCAGACTGCACAAAATCGTTTCCTCTGCTATCTATTTTTGAAAGGTATATAAAAACTGAAAATGGGAAGCATTCAATTCTAATTCCTTTCTGGAAATTTTATTCTTTTGGTGAAAGAAACGAGTTCTTTGCACACACTAGTTTGCTTTGCCGTATGACAATTTTTCTTACATATGAAAATTTTGCTTTGGTTTCTTTCTTCAACCATAAGTTATTGACATATTCTCTGTTACAAAATTTGGGGAAAACTTGAGCATCTTATTGGACTTCCATCAACTTTTTCATTTTTCATTTGGTACTTATTGTTGTTTATTTGAGCAGGTCCGCCAAAGTCATAGAAGGTTACGTGTTGTGCGCTTGGAGACTACAACAGATAGTCAGCGTATTGTTGGCCTTCTTATTCCAAATGCTGCAATTGAATCAGTCATGCAAGGTTCTTTTCAGTTTTTGCTGTGACCTGAAGTTGCCTAATTATTCTATTCTATTACGTAAAAAAGGAAAACAAATAATTCTTCACGAAAAATATAACACATGGTTATAGTATGTCTTAAGAGTAGTTCCTGTCCAATTTGATCAGCTCGGGCATTATAGCTTTGTATGCGGTTTGTTTAAAATCATTGTCATGGCTTTCCAATCAAGCAACCAAGTGACAACATTGCTTTTGCCTGATTTCCTGTTCATATTTCCACCAGATCTATCATGGGTTGCTGATGTTGAAGGTTGACATGGGAAAAGTTTTGAAGTTACTGCAAAACTTGGTCTGGATGTCAGATATTGAATCTTGTGGATTTGAGAGAGGTGCTTAAGCAATTGGAGCTTGATTCGAGATAGAAGACAGATCTATTATAAATTTTTGTGCAAAATACGAGCCACTATTTTTTGTTGGTATGTTGTAAATTGTGAGTGCATTAAGACCCAGTATCGATTGACACCTCATGCATTGGGCTTTCCTTTTTTGTATTGTTGTAAAATGTGTAAGTACATATAGGAAATTGCTGATCCGCCATGTACAAAAGCAAACATTTATGCAATTGAGCAATGAAAAGTTCAAGCCAATGTTCGTTTCAGAACACCAAATCTCAAACCACTCGTAACAATGTTTATGAGGGGCTTATTCTATATCTGTAAAAGAAAAGGTTGTCTAAGCTGCCGGGTTTTCCCATGCTTTCCGTCTTATCGATGTGAATGGCGTTTCGAGATTTCAGTATATCTATTGACTTCAGGTCGTGACGTCAATTTCAATATTTATATTGGCCAATTTGTTTGCTTTTTAATCTTTTATCGAAAGTAAAATATGGAAGACAGTCCCCACTCTATCAGAGGTGATGATACCATACAGCTCTGCTGGCAAATTGCTTCGCCATAAAACAGTAGACGAGGGATTCTGTTGGCAACAACAATTGCCCAATTGGCAGCTCCGCTAGTTTTTCTTAATGCGTGAGAATTGTATAGCTTGAAAATTGTCTTTAAGCTCGAGGATGCTTCTGCAGGGTAATCAGCTGCCATGATGGTGATTTCTTGCCATTAATTACATCAATCATCCTGATAGATGTATAGTCCCTTCCTTGACTGTCAATATAAACTCTTCCTTGATTGCAAGAGCTTCACACTTCAAGATCTCCCCTTTGTTGGTAATTAATTGCTTGTCTGCTAGACAGATTTTTTTTTTACTAAGATACTCTCTTATTGAAGAATCGTGTGTATAAATTATTTATAGATTATTTGACGGACAACTTTCAGAGACAACAAAGATAATAGCATCATAGATTTGTCCGAAACAATAAGAGTAAGGTAAGCTTTAAACAAGGTGAATGAATATATATATATATATATATATATATATATATTCAAATGAAAATATTGGGAAATATGGGTAGGTGAAGGTAAGAAATCAAAAATTAGTTTAATTGACCAATGATTAAAAAAACTTCATAAAAAAATATTTATTATTGGTGGAAATATTTTTATATCAATCTATAGAAAATAAGAAAGATATTGGACGTTGCTCAGTTACTTAAGTTGATGGGTAGTCTATTGAATGTTTGACTTGGTGGAACATACTCGTACATAACAATAATAATAATAACAATAATGAATCCTATACCCTGATAATAATAATACAGAAGTTCAACTAACTATATAATGATATACATATCTGATGATGACAAAGATTTGACCAAATGTAAGCACCAACTTTGCGTCAACTACAACTCAAGACTTTGTCTCCTTCAATTTTTTGTTTCCCCATCAGCTTCGGGGTAGATTTTGCTATTGTATTTTTTAAATAAAAATTAAATTAAATATTCGAAAAGCTATTATGGTGATTTCGTCGCTTGGCTAGCTCCATTAGAAATGGTTTGTTCAAACCAAATCAAGTTGGGCTATTACACCCTACATTGTTCTTCTTGGTTCTCCACAACAATGGGGTTTTTCTGTGGCTGATGATCGAGGTATACGAACTCTTTAATTTTTATTTTGTACGAATGATAAGCAGTGAAAATGAGATTTGATCCTTCAAACCTTGTTATCAAGCAGTCAAAGTCTTTCTTTATCCTTAGAAAATTATCAACGTGGATTTTTCCTAATTTTTTGAGATAGAAGATTATTCTTATTTTCCTGTAATAATTATCTTCTTATGCTCCTGATTAGCTTCACCCTCATTCTCATTTATTAGTGGATCTGATATGGTTTTTTTAGTTTTTCATGTAAGTATTCGTGTCTTCTGTTTCTTGACATTTGATCACATTCTATTTATTTTTTATTTATCCCTTTTTGTTGAATGTAGCCTTGGTGGGGAAGATGGAACAAACACCTCCTTCCTCCAACAGTATTAGTGCTTTCTTTTCAACTAGTATGTAGTACAGGAGGCCTGATTCGTGATGACAGCAGAGTGTTTGGTAAAAATCTCGGTGAATTCAAGCAAGATGGTCGAGTCCAAATGACATTAAAATAGTGGATTTACTCATCTCAAGTTGATTTAGTACTAAATGATCCAACGTAATATGAAAAGACAAGAAGCCACGACCAGGTCATGGGTTTGTTAGGAGGAGGTCTTTTAAGCAATTACTTGGGTTTTTCTCATCTCAAGTTTCCACAAAAAGATGATGATTTCTCTGTTAACCAACCAACACATTAAAACTTGACATTGGTTTAGTTAGTTGTACAAGCCTAACTATATCAACCGGAATTAAAACTCAGCACGTTGAGCACCAGGAAACATTGATATTTACATCCTGAGCAAGATATAGATTTCATGTCAGAGTAACAACTTGGCACAACATCGGAAGGGTGGTTCGACCCACATATCATATTCTATCATATTCGACCCACCGTATGACCTAGTACAAGATTGCGTAACATATTTTCTGCAAAGAAATCATGTCCGTCCACACTATCATATTCTACAGTGTCTCATCATCATCTTCGTAAAAGATACAAGCCAAAAACCAAACTGAACTTAGGCTTTGCAGCACTATCACATTTTACGGTGTCTCATCCTCGTGGTATAGATGCAAGCCAAAACCAAACCGAGCACAGGCTTTGCAGAAGGCTAGTTCTTCGGCTGCAGCAATCGGATCCTTAAACCGGCCATCGTTCAGAGACACGGTTCCAGCAGACTCCCGATGCGCCTGCAATTGTACAACAATAAGCATACAACATAGGGGAACCTCACAGCTCATCTCAACAAGTAAAGATTTCCTGCTTTTTCATATCTGAAATGATAGCATGCAAATTCCTTGTGTTTTGATACTTTTGGTGATTTTAGATATTTTGGAACCTCTAAAGATGAATGTTATTGAAGAATCCATGACTTAATTTGATTCAAACATTGCGGTACATGCACACTTTTTTGTTAACTTTCTTGCTCCACCCATTCAAGTGCCGCCCTATGTGCTGTCAAAATAACTTTTACAAATTTCTACAGCTTCGTTAATATAAAACCAAATGAAAAAATGTGAAAACAAAATTTGGATAAGCATTAATATCTTAAACTGAGAGACTTCTAGTGAGTGAACACATCTTTGATAATTCTCACATATAAATATTTAGGTGGAATTTGGTCAAAGATATAGGAATATTAGTTTTGTGTCAAGTACTTTTTTTCTTTAGTTGCAAAAGGAGCTATGCCACCTTTGATGCAAAAATAGTGCACCACCTAATAGAACCGAAAAAAGTAGTCCCCTGCATTGAAGGTTCCACCAATACATGTTTTGGAGATGGTCAATTCACAAAGTCTGGTTCTTGCAAGCAAAGAGACTTTCTCCACGACTCAAATCCAAATAAACCAAGTTGCAAGGGAATTGCCTAATCATAGTGGTAAAGCTCCTCCCCTTAACCTGGTATAGAGCTGCATCGACTACAACAGGGTAAACCTAGAGGACCACATCTGAATCAGAATTTAGACAGGATAGGGTCTAATACATCTTTATCCATAATCAAACTAGTGCAGCCTGATTAAAATGAGTTGGACTAACAATATTTTGCAGAAAGGCTTCTAGTTAAGCTCCATTGGCTGATCTATGTTGCGATAGAACTGAATAACCCTTAAAGCATCTGATGGATGGGTCAAGTTTTCCGAATGTTCAAAAAATATATTTATATAACTCAAGATCTTATTTAACATAATAACTTTGACAAAAACTGCTAACAAGTATAAACTGAAATCACCAAAACCATCAAGATGAAGCCTGATCCTATCATAATTTTCCATCAGGAAAAAGCGGGCAGCCCTGTACATGATTCCATTATTTATATTCTAATTTTTCATTTGGGTATCTTTTTTCTTTTTCATTAGAACTATGATCCTAATTTGGTTGGCTGAAATCACTGGAAAGTGATCGGCCTGAAGTTGCTGAAATAACTAAAAGCACAAAAATCAATACAATTATTGAAATAGAGAAAAACTTTTCCTAGGAGGCCTAAAACCAAAGCTAGTAATAATAACCTCGGATCATCTACTTTTGTATGTTTACCACCATAATGCAAGAATTCTACTCTCACAAATAAATAAAAAACTTCAGGCCATTCAGGCCTATAAACATATCTAAACAAACAATTTAATTCAGCCTCAGCTATAATCTTCCTTCATGTTACAATTATTCACATCTCAATCTACATAAAGACTGATTACAGATAAATGAAATAAATTATTTTGGTGACAACCACACTAAGTCACTTCATATTATTCTCTCAGGCTTAGATTAGTTCCTGACCCTGTTTCTATTTTGAATGCAGGATTAGCAAACATTGATCTTGACATAACTGCTACTCAACCATTCCACCACTTGTAGTATATTGTTGCCAACTAGTAACTAGTGATGGATATTTTTTTTTTCTCTCTAAAGAAAAACTATCATTCATTCATCATAGAAGGTGATCCAAAAGGCAGGTGGAGAGAAGTACAAAAGTCAGTAGGGAGGTCATTTCCCCAGGTATCGTAACACCCCTGCTATAAGCAAAGCCAACCCATGAGCATCCCTTCACAGTCCTAGGAATAAAAGACCAACTGTTAACATGAGAACATTTGGGAAGCCCCAAAATGTTCTTGACAGTCCATGGGACAACATCAAGATTGTGGAGCCAAGAGATGAACTGTTGGGATTCAATTTTAATTCAAACACAACAGAAAGTCCATCCCAGATTGCAAGGCATTTTGTTTGAAGAGGTGAGGAAGCTTTGATAACTCTGCAACCAGCAACAATAGTGGATCCATCTAGGTTCCATCTTGGGTTCTGATGGTGCAGTCTGTGCCAACAAACTCAGAAGAAAGGTTAAAGGAACTGCCAAATTCAATATAGCAAGTAGCAACTGGATTAGAGTTCAAGTGATTTGGGAAGGAGTGGAAGACCTTGCAAGGAAAAGACCTATGCCACTCCTAAAAAGTGTCATCTCACTAAAATAAACCATGGCCCAACACCAAATAGACAATAGTGGGGAATGATGGTTACAGAATAGACAAGCGTTGCAGTTGTTCCATAAAAACAAAAGAGAGTTAGCTATGAAGCTTATGAGATATAGAGCAGAAGATTTATCCAGGTTGAAGACTTCATCAACCCATGCTTCATTTCATGGTTCGTCTTATCGGTCCATACCGGTATACCAACCACTTGTCGGTACGATATATACCAAACTGTACCAAGCCATAATGAGCGTATCAACACATGATACATGAGGGCTATCAATGTACCGCCCATATCGGTCTCCTATCGGACCAATATATATCGCCCGTACCGAGCAGTACTGAGCAGTATGGTGAACCTTGCTTCATTCACCTAATTGTCATGGAAATGAAAGGAGTGGTAAATGTTTGACTTGCACCATATCTCAATAGGAGGCGAAAGGGCAAAGAAAGAATATGTGATTAGACAAATCTTGCTGAAGATGGCAGACATGGCATGAGGAGACATGGGCATTGTTGAATCTGGCCATACAAGAGTAAGTGGGAAGGCAATACCAAATTAATCTTCACAAGAAAATTTTTAACTATTACAGCCACATTGAAAGCCCAAACCACCTTCCAACCATTCCTCATTGGGATCACACTATCAAGAATCTGTAGGTACTTTTAGTGCTAGAAATACCAAGGGGTTGATGGGTCCAGATCTAGTAATTGTCACTGTGGTGCATGGGAACCTGATTTCAGACTGCAAATTCCATGTCATATTTGAGTCGAGATTCATATTTATAAAAGCAATCCCATAGTTTATGGGAATGTTAGTAAGCTAAGGATCAGTTCATATATTGGTGTATCTCTTGTTCCCAATCAACATTTGAAGCCCATCTTTAAGATTAGAATATGAGGTGAAAAATACCTACCCAAACCAAGGTTTGTCATACCACAGCATACCGCTTCATATGGCCAGTACGTATCGGTCCAACAAGAGAACGGTATAGGAGGCAAGATTTGCCATGCCAACCTGTATCGCCTGGTATGGATGATACGTACTGGTCCAACAAGATGCCGGTACACGGACCACCCTCTACCAGGTGATACCATCACATGGCCCTGTATCGGATGATACAGGGTCTGTATTGAGCGATAACGGTTGAAATCCGACCATTACCGACTTGTACCGATTGGTAACTATCGAATTTCGACCGTTACCGATTAAGGGCTAAGATTCCCCTATTTTAAACGGTCAAAAGTGATTGTTTGAGGCTTCGAAAAGGGTTTTTAAACCCTGTCCTCCCACATTTTTTAACTCATTTCACTCTCTCAATCTCTTCAACTCTCTAAAGTTCTTTTTCACTCACATCTCTCTCTCATTCTCATATTTTTATTCTCCTAAATTCAACAAAACTACGATTTGTGAATTGAATTAAATTTAGAAGACTAATTTGGAAGGATTCAAAGGAAGAACATTATAATCAAGAGGTATGTAATCTCTTTCTAGTTTTTTATTGATTTATGATATAATTAAGCTTATTTTTGTAGTGTATGACTTAATGTCTAATATATTGTTTGATATGTTTTTTATGGTAAAATAGTGTTAATTAGGGAGTAATTAAGGTCTTTAATATTGTGATTAGTATGCTTAATATTGATTTTTTCAAAATTAGATACTTAATAGTTCAAATCTTTATATTTCATGCATATTAAGGTGATTTATATATTTATGATGGTATAATAGGTTTAATTAGGTTTAACATAAGTTTTTTAATATTGCGATTAGTGATTTTAATGATGATTTAATCAAAATTTGATCAATATTGGGTCAATTCAATGTTTTTAATACTTACTAAGATGTTTGATATGTTTATAACGATGAAAGAGGACTAATTAGAGATTAATTAACTATGTTAGTACTGTGATTAGTGTCTTTAATTATGATGATATCAAAATTTAACCCATATTAGGTCAATTAAATGTCTTTAATGGCTATTAGAGTGTTTGAAATGTTTATAGTGATGAAAGAGAAATATTTAATGGGTAATTAATTATGTTAATGGTATGATTAGTGTATCTAATAATGATTTCACTGTAATTTGATCTATATTTGATCAAAATTACATCTTTAATGCTTCTTAGGGTGCTTGATATATTTATAGTGATAAAATACAACTAACTAGAATTTAATTAAATTTTTAATACTGTGATTAGTGGTTTTAATAATGATTTAATCAAAATTTGATCAATATTGGATCAATTCATTGTCCTTAATACCTATTAGGATGTTTGACATGTTTATAATGGTGAAAAAGGACTAATTAGGGATTAATTAACTATGCAAATACTGTAATTAGTGTATTTAATTACGATGATATTGAAATTTGACCTATATTGGGTCAATTAAATATCTTTAATGCCTTTTAAAGTGTTTGACATATTTATAGTAATGAAAGAGAAATAATTAGTGGATAATTAACTATGTTAATGGTATAATTAGTATATCAAATGATGATTTCATCGTAATTTGACCTATATTGGATCAAAATTATATATTTAACTCTTTTTAGGGTGTTTGACATATTTATAATGATAACATAAAACTAATCAGAGTTTAATTAATTTTTTTTACTACTATAGTTAGTATATTTAATAATAAATTTAATGATATTGAGTCAATTCTATGTATTTAATGCACCTTGTTAGGGTTCATTACGACATTATGTATAATTGCACCTTGTT